TATTTTGGTTTTAATTTTAATCTATTAATGACTTATATGCTTTCGAGATTCTTTAAACTAATATTTATATAATTTTGATAACTACATTGTGTAACTACCCTATTTTTTTGGCCAGTTTTTTTATTCAAGCAAATTAAAATTAATATTTTTGCAATGATTTTATACTTGTGACGTTTATTCTATTAATATAAATATAAGCTTAAATATCATCTTAACAGTTCATCTTAACAAATATCGAGTGCTTTGTAAATTCCATGAATAACAAATCAAACTCCCTCCCTCAATATATACATCGAACTTTGTTTTATATACAAAGTTATTTCTTAGTGACATATGTTCACGCTATTAACGGATTTTACAGAACATTCAATTTTATGCAAATGAGAATATGAACTAAAATTAAAATCGCATGAGCAATAGTTCAAGCTGTTCTTCATAACTCAAAGATTTACAATAGTTATGTTCATCCTAATAATTCATCGAAAGGTTTCTTTGTTAGAGTTAATGTTTTGGATAAAACTCAAATGATTTGAAAGCATTTTCATCCGAAACACTAGTCAGAGTAAATCATTATAAACGTTACCTCTTTTACTCCAGCATAGCATCGTATCATGGGCTCACCTAAAGCGTCGATGAGTATTTTATCCTCCCTCAAGACTTTCAATGCATCCGATAAACTATCTGGCATTCTATCAGTAACACCTTGTTTTATATGTTCTTCATTGTTTAAAGAAGCAGGATTATCTATTATTGAATTTTTATTGAATTTTACAAGAAAATTTCATATAAAACCATATATAAATAATTATATAATGAATATGTTTTTTGTTTACCGAGAATAGGATGAGTAGTAAGCTGCATTCCTTTCTTAATTCCATCAACTCCTGAAGCAATAAGGGCCGAAAAGACTAGGTACGGGTTTGAAGTACCGTCTACAAATCTGTGTTCGAAATGAACATCAAGATATTTTCCATTAGGTCCAATATTTTGTCTATAACACACTCTGATTGGCGCTTTACTGCAATGAAGTAATATTGAAAGAATTATAGAATAATTATGCAATGTGAATCATTATTTATATTA